GCTGTCTTGTGGTTTCGATGTTTTTGAAACAAGCTCTTGTGTTGAAAACCTGGTTTTGTTTGGAAACGATGGTCATACGACGAAGAGCTGTGAACCCCCAATGGAAGGGTAGTCTACTGTTTGTCTACTGTTGTCTACTGAGTCTACTTCGTCCTTGCTCCTAGTAGCGATGGCCTCCACCCTAGTAGCGATGGCCTCCACCCTAGTAGCGTCCTTGCTTCTTTGTTACTACTGGTAAGGCACTTGTTCCTAGTAGCGATGCACTTGTTCCTAGTAGCACTATTACTGTTTCACTTTAAGTAGAAGGAAGTTGTGTGCTGTGTGGAGATGCCCACGTGGCCCTGCGTGGCCCCTGCCTGGCGTCGGCTGAGGTTCAAGCACATCAAGTGCACGACCGAACGAATGAGGAACGATGTCCATCAATCTGAGGCCGACCCTGAAGTGGAGAAAACGAAGACTATGTGAGAACCATTTCAATTCGTTTGTGAGAACCAATTTCAGATCAGTTCAAACGCCTCTCATCCTCTCACTCCGAATTACTTGGTTCCAAAGAGCTGCGAATGTCTTCGGCTTGATATTCTGAAGAGGGCGCTTCTGGCGACGAGTTGAGATGGCTACACTCCTCACCCCTAGATCGAAGACCAAAGGCAATTTGCTAGACTTAAAGCATCACTAGCCCGAACTCTCACCAAGGTTTCAATAACAAGAAGCTGGTAGGTTGGAGGCCATTACTACTACTTAACAAGAAGCTACTAGTATTTCGTTCTGAAGTTTGAGAAATCCATGCCAAACATCCAATCTGACTTTTGGAAGGGAAGTGAAGCGCACGTGTCTTCGTCAATAAAACCAAACACGCACGACCACCACCAAAGGAAGGGTTTTGTCTGCGACAGTTTGAGTCAATATATAAAGACTGGTGTTCAATACTTGTGCGAAAAGACGTTGTAGGTTTGTGCGGTGAAGAGTTGAAGACATATCAACTCTGCTTTGGAAGCGTCCCACTCTGAAAACTCCCGAACAGTCCCCATGGCCAGGGGTTGATGTGGTAGAAAGGCAGTGATTCCTTCGAACTCAGAATGACCAGGTTTTTGCAAAATCCTCGCATAACTTGTCACCGCGAAACCAAGCGGACCGAAGTGGTCTGTGATTAGAAGGCCCACTTGGGCTTGCCTCCAATCGGGACACTTGCGCTCTTCGACTTTGGACTTAGCCACCCACCAGGAACGATAGCACGATCGCGTGTTAATGTTTCGTTGATCATTGCAAGAGGATAACATGTTCTGAATGTGGGAGTCGGACGAACAGGTTTAGATCGAGCGATGCTTCTAAGATGTTTGTGAAATGTGTAGCAAATCAACGTTTCACACAATGATGGACACAATTCCTTTAGAAACTAGCAGTGGTGTTAACCTTAGCTGGTGAATAATTCTTTGAAGATGATCATCGACACATATCAAAATGATTTAGTCGTCAGTAGTCACAAGAGGTAGCGGACTCATGGTCTTTCATTGATCCATGCCCTTGCATCAAATATTTCATTTGTCGAAGAACAGACCTCAACGCGGTGTGTGGAACGAAGCATCATCCACGAGAAATCTCGTGAGAAATTATGCCTGCCCAGCGTGTCTAAGACATGCTTGGATTTTCGATGGCATCGTCCTTCAAATGAAAAGGAAGGTGGAATACATGGTCGATTTCATGGGAACAATTCCAAATGAGGGTCGGGATTCAAATGAATTTGCTATTCAGAAATTGCCAGGTAAAAATAGCTGGACTATGCCAACGAAATAAAAAATAGAAATTAAATCCGACAGAAATATTATGAATCAATAATAATCTTCGTTGGATATCGTTTTTAAAAATGATTTGATTGCAAAACCGATAGGGATCTATTTAGCATCGATACTTTTTAACATGAAGTATACGTGCAAAAAAAATAATAGAATTTTAAAATATGTATTTGTCGTTTTGGCAGCTTTATATTTGGTATTTGATTTTAATAAAAAGGATTCGAAATAACAGTATTATTTTGATATTTTTAAATTTTAAATATTTATATTTAATATATTTTTTAATTTGGGTGATTTTAATATTCGTTTTATATTAAATTAAATTAATATATAATTTATATTTTAAATTAATATATATATTTGGGAAAATTTTTTTATTTGTAATTAAATAATTTATGATATTATGCGTTAATTTGCATTGAATTATTTTTATTTAAAGGATTATTTTTTTGTTTATTATTTATTATTTGTTGATTTGGTTGGGGCCGATTGTTATGGATGGAAAGAATTTATGGAAATGATTTTTTTCGTTTGAAATTTTATACCTTCGATACTTTTGATGGGTTAAAAAGCACTATGAAGAAATATATTCGGATGTTTATATGTTATTTGAGATACGAGATTGCGAAATTCGGGAGTCGAAATAATTACGAATTTCGAGATGAATTTCGAGATTCGAAATTCGAAATCCGAAATAAAAACCGAGATTCGAGGTGCGAAATTTTAATTTCGACGTCCGAGCTTTTTAATTGGAAATTCGATAGCAATTCGATAGCTTGAAACGAGGCGGTAGCGGTAGCTAAGAGCGAAATTATGAAGGAAGATAAACTTGGGAGACAAGATGGCGGTGGTAGCGAAGAACGAAAACAACAAGGGAGATTAGCTTGGGGACAAGGTGGTAACGGCAACCCAGAACGAACATATAAAGGGAAACAACCTTGGGAAACAAGGCGGTAGCGGCAACCAAAAGCGAAATCACGAAGCGGGAATCTAGAGCGAAAACATGCGAAATCATGAAGGGAAACAAATTTGGAGACAAGGCGATAACGGCAACCAAAAACGAAATCATAAAGGAAAACAAATTTGGGAGAGAAGCCGGCAGCGGCAACCAAGAGCGAAATCATGAAGGAAGACAAGCTTGGGAGATAACTCGGCAGCCAAGAGCGAAATTATGAAGGGAAATAAATTTAAGAGATAAGACGGAAACGGCAATCAAAAGCGAAATCGTGAAGGGAGACATAACGAAGAAACAAGATATTGCGGCAGCCAAGAACGAAGGCACGAAAGGAAATAACCTTGGGAGATAAGATGGCAGTGGCAATCAAAAGGGAAATCATAAAGGGAAACAAGCTGGAGAAATAAGATGGCAACGGCAAGCAAGAGCGAAAACATTAAGGAAGACAAATTTAGGAGACAAGATGGCAACGGCAATCAAAAGGGAAATCATGGAGGGATACAAATTTGGGAAACAAGGCGGCAACGGCAGCCAATTTCCGCAATCCGGAACCCATTCAATCCGGAACCCATCCAACTATCTGGGGAAAAAAAGATCTTCGATGAATCTTTTAAGGACCATGCCATATCTTTGGATTTATCGGGACCAATTCTTACCCAAACCGCAAGCTACGGAATTTTGATAGGCGGCGTCGCCAAAATTGGGCAATGCCAAATTAGTACATAACCCTATTTATATTTTTCCGATACCAATATATAATAGGACAATAGAATAGGGCAATTGCATACCAAATATGCCTATAATATCGAATATATTTTGGAAATAGAAGAAAAAAATTAATATTTCCGCAATATAATAAGGATGACGAACGAATCACAACATCCACAAAGATAAATTACGAGATCCGTAAAATCACAATAAATATACAATAATGGAAAAATTAAGTCTACAACAAGCCATGGAAGGCGGCGGCTCTTAAAAGGCATTACGATGTTAATAGGCGTTCGTAATAGCGGACAAAATCGGCGTTCGTAATAGCGGACAAAATCACCGAGCAAAATACGCAAGAAAAGCGCCGAGAACAATTCAAATTAGCGATTCACCTATTCTCTCGGCCAAGGATTTTCAAGATTATTCGTTAATTTATAGATAAAATAATAAAAGATTTTCTACGAATTTATATAGTTATTCCGATCGTTCCGACAATCGATAATTACAAAAAAATAATCGCAATATTCCAATAATTATGAATATATTATCCGTCGTTCATTTTATCAATATTTTTGTAATCTTTATAGAAATTACAAATAAACATTGCTATGCAAATCGTAATATCAAATATTAAATATATTTTTTTTATTACAATACAAAATATAAATCATTTCAATGCATTTTCCATCCGCACGACCTATTAATTCCATAAATATATAAAATATATATATAAATTATCTAATATTATCCTATTCCTTTTCCAACCTATATATCTTTTATTCTCTTCCCCCATAAATATTCATTATTAAAAACAACGATTTAATTCCAAATCTATATATCAAAAAATATTTATATATATAATATATATTCAATAAATAGAATCTATATATATATATATTCGTTTATTTCAAAAATATATTTATCTAAAATTCAAATTCCTTTACTAAAATTCATTTTTATTATTATATAAATCAATTAAAATAATTACGACAATGAATTCATTTTTTCCTTAAAAACATTATTTATTTTCAACAATTTATCGAATTTACATCTATATTTCACCAAACGATTTATTGTTAGGGATTTTCAATTCTTTCTTAAGATATGTCCGCCCTTTGTGTCACTGCTGGTATCCAGGTCTGTCACTGCTGGGGTTTGTCCTTTTCCGTTGACCATGCAATATTTCTCTTCATTTATCTCCCAGGTCTATCGCTGTTGGTGTCCGCCCTTTTGCGCTAGCCATGTAGCATTTCTATTCATTTTTTTCCCAAATCTATCGCTATTGGTGTCCGCCCTTTTGCGCTAACCACGTAGCATTTCTTTTCATTTGTCTC